TATATATATACAAGTCTGAATCCAAGCGGCCTTTGAAACTCCTAAAGCCAAGTAGCAAATGCACGGTTAGTAATGCGAAGAAATAGGTTCTTTTGTCCTTAACATATAGTGGCAATGTTGCCATAAGTGTGGATCTGTCAGCGACTATTCACCTGATATCCTCTTACTTGATATAAAAGCCACTTTCTTCCAAGTCCACATGCAACCTTTAGACAGTATTCAGGTTTATAGCCAACAGCTTGAAATCACAGGCACAGCTTAAATGAGAGACATTAGGTGGATAATTTATAAGATATAATCCTGTGTATATTGGCTGATGACTTAAGCTTATGAGAAATTATACCAGAACACAACACACTTTGGCCCACTCTTTTTACCAAGTACGCGTGAATAATTGATGGTATTGCAGCAAACAGAGCAAGGGTTGGTATATCCAAGCGCTGATGACTCTATCCACAAGTACGAAATCATAGTTTGAAAAAAAGTTACATGAGTAGTTACCATGTCAACCGTTAGTAAAAAATGAAGTCACGTTTATTGAACACATAAAAGAATCTTTCATTTCTAGGTCCTTTATTGCGTCCACGGATTGGAATGCATCTCGCAAACTGTACTGACACGTTTGTCGTCTTATTCTGACGAGCCACTGTGCGATTTTGTGATAGGATAAGTTGTGACTACTTAGGATCAGCCTCACTGGGCGGTTGGTGGTTGGGCAAGCCGTATAAGCGGGACGTTGTGGACCCTGTGGGTTTAACTTCCTCACCAGTTGTTTTGGAGAGGGAGTTTGCCATAAGGCATAACCACCTATGTAACTATATAGAAGCCAACAACTTCTGGTCAACAATTCCGGCTAACGAATTGCGAGGGCTCCTGCACATTGAATGTGCAGCTACTGTTCATTATCATGCTCCATCTTCACATTGATGGCGTCCCGTGAGTTCATTACTTGGCCCAGTGCTAGCTGATATTTCCATGAGTGTACTTGAGAATGGTCCCTTAAAAGCCAGCATAGAGCATATGCAACACTACTGTCGACACGTGGACGACATCTTCGCGGCTGTGAACAATGAAGCCGAGATTGAATTGCTTCAACGACAGTTCAGTGAGCCTTACACCACCATCCAATTCACCTCGGAAGAAAAAACGGGTAACTTCTTCCACTTCCTAGATGTTGGCTCTGAACGACTTCACGAGGGTACATTAAAACGATTAGTATACCGAGAATCTACTTGGTCCGGACAGTACATTAAATTCAGCAGATGCGTGTTTTACCAAGGCAGAAACGGAAGTTGACCCACAGCCTAACCAACGGTTGGAAGAAAATATATCCCGGTGACGCTCTAAAAATCTCAACCCTCATCAACGTCCTGAGAGATAACGGGTTCCACGAAAAGTTTGCTATAAAATATTTGTTCAGGAAAGAAGCAAACACCATTATCGACATAATTGGAAGAAAAATTCGTTTACGTTAGCCTGCCGTTTAAGGGACATATACTGGGGTTGCTACTGAATAGATGACTCTTTATTAGTTGGAACAAAGGTTTCCCGGCCGAAGCACTCTGAAACTGATTTAAACGCAATCGTCTGTGCTCCGTTAATCTCAGAGATAGAGCACCTGCCCACGACCGAAATGTGTTGGTGTACTTATTCTTTTGTTGTTGTGCAACGGAATACATCGGACGCACGACCAAGCGACTCGATCAAAGAATGAAAGAACATAGTCTACCCTGGCTTGCTTCTGGAACAAGGAGCACGATAACCAGCTCGGACGTACAGCATCTAGCATATACGGTGCACAACGTGATACCTGGCCAAAGTTTCCGCATTGTCTACATGCGCCGGCTAATCAACCCAGATCTGTACGACAACGCACAATCGCAGTGGCTGAAGCCATCGCCCTACGGCATCGCGACGCAAAACTTTGTTGGCAAAAACGATTTGTTGGTGTATTGTGCCTACCATGGTCCAACTCACCTGCCTCCACAAATACCCCCTGTGCACTACGGGCACTGACAAGCTCAATTCAACCTATTGGTAACCTGAACTAGTTATTTGATAGGTAACCAATATCGTCTGTCACTGGATTTCCTTCTCATGTACACTATGCTCATTCATATATGTTAAATTCTTTTGTCTTGACCTTCACAACTGTATGACTTGAAAAGATCTTGCCGAAAACATGTTCGTCAAGCCCTCTCTGTTCTTATTCTAAATGGAAATTTTTGAGAAACGGGTAGTCTTCCTCAACAATGAACAGAAATTATCCTTTCGCAGTCGTCACTGTTCGCTGCATTTGTGTGGGATTTTGGGTGTTTTTTTAAAGGGATCGCCGCACTTAATACAGGAATTAATTATGTTCTCTTGACTTATTCATAATTTCTAACGCTTAGCGAACCAGTACAAGATCTTGGGGATAAAATGACTTTTTTCATTTATATCGGTACTCAAGATCATCTGTATGATCAAGAAAGTTACACACACATTATCCTACTCACCAAAAGTCTTACGTGATATGTGAATCAATCAGTCTATCAATAAGTAAAATCCCCACCAGTCATATGCGGTACAAAGACTCGTGCTAAAACTTTAGTTCTCAAAGCACATTTATATCAAACGGGATAGTTTCTTCCGTCTTGGTGTGTTAGTTTACTGCCTGATGTTTTCACTTATCAAAGTCAGCAGTTAATAATACTCAGCAAACTGCTGAAAAATTATCTTTCCGACATGATTAACCTATGACTGTTTGGAAATTGAGTTCCGTTATTTGTGAGATATTTAGACTAGAGTGAATGTCGTGAACTTACTGATTAGGCTGTTCATTTCAAACAAGGGACCGGACTAGAACAAGCTTGATGTGTTTAGACGCCACCACTTTTCTCATCCACTTCTATTATAAATCGCCGTTAGGAGTGTCCATTTCTACTCAAGACTAATAGTTCTGGTGAGCCGTTTCTTTCCGTTTTTTATTCAGCCGGTAACCGTGCATGGAAACGCACCCCTAAATGATGGTCGTCTGTATCACAGGTGGAGGTTACGCTAGGAAAACAACGCACATATCAGGCTAAGTGTAGAAGTATTCATCAATTACCGGTAAAACTCCTGGCATGTTAACTTCTTGTATTTCAGGAAAATTTTGTGAAAATTCGAACTCCGTATGAGATTTCCCTTTTTGACATGAGACCAAATGAGCAGACGACATTTCACTCTTAGGTATAAAAAATTTCATCAGTGAATGTGGATTTGATTCACTGATGTTTTCTTTTGGAATGGTTGCCTAACGTAATATCGCAAACTAAAAAAGAACCTCACATAAAGTATGAGCGGCACTTGTGTGTACAACTTGACGGCGAGTCAGCGTTTA